ACAAGTATGTTGTAGCTGATTATGTTGCAAGCTTAGTTTCTGTTTTCCCTCCTGCTGATGAAAACTTCTATGAGAGACAAGTCCTTAATGGAAGAGAGGAGACGGACAAAAACAAAGCTAAGAGAAGCTATTCCACTCAGTCGAGTTTCTTATCAAGAATGTTCACTTTTTTCCTGTGTAAGAAATGATCAAAAAGAACGTATAATTATGTGTGAGTTATCATGCTATTTTTGAATGTCCATGATCCGCTCTTCTTGGCTCTAATAGACCTGATTTTGTACTTGACTAGCAATGCATTATTGTTAAATGAGATGACTAAGCAATTTACTGCCAAATTTTAACAGATCAAAATCTCTCTATGTATGTGCTCAATACTGAACTTGTTAACCATTCTGAGACTGACATATTGGTTCGATTTTCTTTGGCAGATCAATTTGTGCAAATTGATCTGCCAAAGAAAATCGAACCAATATGTCAGTCTCAGAATGGTTAACAAGTTCAGTATTGAGCACATACATAGAGAGATTTTGATCTGTTAAAATTTGGCAGTAAATTGCTTAGTCATCTCATTTAACAATAATGCATTGCTAGTCAAGTACAAAATCATTTGCAAACAGAGTGATATCTGGAGAAATTCTCATTTCTATTACAAAGTTAATAACCATTGGTTGTACATACAATCTGAAACTTGTGTCTATGGAGTTATGTAGAACAAGAATTACTGCAAGAGTCGTCTAATCAGCTGGACTTTTTTTCGATGTGCTTGGCCAATTCTCAATTGCAGACACAAAAATTTGGTTCCATTCATAGGAATTTTGAATTTGTACGCATAAGCAGGCTTTTCCACTGCAAGCTAACACACAGGAAATTTTGGTGCAAAGGATGAACCAATGACGTTGGGCTTGTTTGGAAAATTGAATTACTTGCAAATCAAATTTGATTAACCACTTTGTTAAGACACTATTGTTATTTTTTTTTTTTTGGTTCGACTAGCTTTTCATCTTATTCTATTATGGGGTTTTAATTAAGCAATCGATTAAAAAACACTGATCTCAGGTTCTGAAGTAAATTTATGATTTCTTGTTCGTAAACATTTTTTCCTTAATTACTTTATAACAATCAACTTAAGATTGGATGCCGAGAAGAATAGAACTTCTCATAAAGATTATGTTATCATGATGAAAATTTACGAGTTAGTAATAATTGGCTTAGACGAGAGGCCTGAACACCAAATAATATTTGAGCCTCAAGTTGGAGATGAAAAGGGTGTGGTGAGAGACGGGAAGTTTTTCTTAAAAAAAAAAAAAAAAGAAAAAAAGGGCCATTCCAGGGAAAGTTGGAAACAAGACCAGGAGTCAATTTATTTTTTATTTCCAATTATTGCTTGATGTGCCTTTTATTTATTTCTTTTTTTCTTTTGGGTAACAAGGCAAGTGATGTGCTTTGCATATAGTCTTTGGTTTAAAGTCGAATTCTGTTATTTTTAGAAAAGCTTCTATTGCCATTTCTTCGGGTAGTTTTTTTTTTTTTTTTTGGGTTTTGGAAATTGTAAATACATTAGGGTGAATCACAAATTTTGGAAACTTGTGTTTTTCCTTTTATGAATAAGAGGTCTTCAATCCAGAATTTGTTACTTATAATGCCTCCCACCTTACCATCCAAGCCAATCATCCCCTCAATTTTGGAACTTGCATCTTCTATTTAGCGTAGACAATATAACAAGTTCTGGTTCAAGTCACTTTGTGGTTCTAAATTCAGAAATTTTGTAGTTTCGCATCCCTTGAAAATTGGTGCTTAATCTTGTTTTTTGGGTCCTTCCATGAGTAAAACAAATCATACTTGCTTTGGCCTTCCGGGATGTCAGAAACTTAACGAACCGATGGAGGATACACTGTCAATATTGCTGCCTAATTTGCCTAATGATGTCGTTATTGACATATTGTCTAGACTCCCTGTCAAGATCCTCGTTCGATTTTCTTGCGTCTGTAAGGTTTGGCAGAAACTTGTAACGTCAGACCGCAGATTTATTCGATCACAGCTACAAAATTCAGTGAAAAATCTCTGTGGCTTCAAGAGTTTACTCCTAAGCGGTAGTGAGAGGCTTGGTTACTGCTCTACCGGTACCTGCCAAGAAAATCAAGATTTCGACCGATCCCTGAATCAGATGGTGACGCTGATAAATGGTTCTGAGAATCCTGCAGCTTCACAGCTAATATTTCGAGAAGGTAAACTCAAAATCGCTGGTTGCTCTGACGGGATAATTTGTTTTTTCAAGTTCTGCAGCTATTCTTGCCATTCAAGAGTTATGGTATACCTATGCAACCCGGCTTTGCGACAATATAGGGCACTTCCACCCGGTTATTACTGCGGAATAAGCTATCCTTGGAGTACTATTCTGTGCTTTCTCTTTGACCCTGTGAGTGATGACTATAAAGTCGTGAAAATTATAGACATGCACCGTTCTGAGTTCCTGGTTGAGATATATAGTCTAAGTAACGATTCTTGGAAAACATTTAGCGTACGAAATCCTTCTCATAGTCCCCACCATCTTTTCAGAGGCCCATTGGTGGTTCATAACGGGTTTCCTTACTGGTTGGTTTGGAACTCGGTTTCTGCAGTTTTAAATGTGTTTGACATGGTCCAAGAAAAAATTGAAGAAATCCCGATTCCAGCTGATGCCGTCGAATGCCCACTGGATATAGATCTAGGAGTATTCCAAGGATCACTGTCTATATTCGGCACGAATTCCTCGAGTCAGAATGTGGTGTGGGTGATGAAAAAGGACAGGCTAGGGATCTCCTGGATGAAGCAAGTAATTGTACTTCCTCCTGTGAGGTACATTAAGCCGCTATCCAATGTAACTACAGGAGTCACAGCCTCCGGGAAGAGCTTGCTAGTTTCTGATCAAGGTGTTGTATTTCATTCTGACCCAGAGGATCAAAAAGTTGAAGATCAGAATGGGGTGGTTTTGGAACATGTACATTTGAACAGGTACGTTGTAGCAGATTATGTTGCGAGCTTAGCTTCGGTTATCCCTCCGGAGATACTGAAGCAAAAGTTCTCCAAGGACGGACTCTATATGCAGGAAGAAAAGCAGGAAGAGAATGCTGAAGTAAAAGTTCCCCAAGGACAGGTTTCATGACTGCCCTGATTAGCTACAACCAAATGCAAGATCCTGCTTGGTTTGTTTTTGAATTCAGCACTAGCGATGCCTGGTCCTCAGGAGGGAGGATTCGATTGGATGGTAAAGCGGGAGGATTTGTTTGTCGATAAAGTTGATCAGTTCAAATTCTTCTTTCATAAATTTTCTAATTCTGTCAATTCAGCCTTTACTTCATTCTCTCCAGCCAAATTAGTGGTCTGGCTCTAGATCCTTTTTATTCATCAAGGACCTCATGTTGGTTTGTTAGCTGTTTCGACAAATTCAACTGTTAGAAATTTTTGGATTTTGGTGGACTTCAAAAGTCTTCTAACTTGAGCTCAAGTTATTTTAGACCCTTGCTGAGTTCTGTTCCGTTTGCAACTCTTGGCAAAACCTTGCAGAATCACACCATTCTTTCATATATTTTCTAGTTTTGACCCATTAGTAGAATCGAAATCAGGAGTTGGCTTAATTTTTGATCTGTCACAAACAATTAATTTTGTTTAATTCGATTTGATAAATAATGATTTGATTTGCCTCTATTCGATTTCCAATCGGACTCTGCGGCTAAAGAATTCTAATCAATGTTTCTAACGTAATCTCCGTCTTAGATACTCATAAAACTTCCTCGGCGAATAAAAATAATAACCAACTGGGGGTTATTAACTTATAAATTAAGATCTTTTTTGGTACTTCAATAAATTAAGAATTTCTAATAATATACTAATATTGGTGTTTCTCTCGTTTCAACCCAAAAAAGTTTGGGCAAATCACTAATATTTCCCTTGTGATTTTTTATATTACCCCATGACCATCCTAATATTTCAGAACGTTCGCATAATCTCCTATGATTTTGTGTAGAATGGAAAGCAACTGCTGTAATTACCGCTATTGGTTCAAATACGCTCTGAAAACACTTGCAATGAAATTATAGTATACAGGTCCGTTTGTTTTCGGTGAAAATATTTTCCTAATTTCTCGTGTTTTGTTGCACAAAAGTTACTGAAAACATTTTCCTATGTAAAATATTTTTACTCATCTTATGGAAAACAACTTCCCTTTCAAACTTACTGAAGTTGTTTTCCGAAATGCATGCATCCCGCCTGTAGTATGTTCCAAACTTACTGAAAACATCTTATAATATGTTCTTTTTTTTTAGTGTAAACAGGAGAATTCGAACCCAAGACCTCTTCTTTACACTCCGTCCCCCGTACCCACCCAACCCAACCCTCCCCCTAGTATATTCAAAATTAAAAAAAAAAATCTCATCCTGCTCATCCTATACTAGTAATTAATTATGTATAATAGGGACATTCTTTTCTAGAGAAACTTTCAGCAGTGAGAGTGCAAGATATATGTCACAATAAGCATTGCATGTGATTGATATTTGACACTAAATGGCCAACAATTTATTTATTGCTTAAGAAGATATTTTTTATTCATATATATATTTCTCCAAGATTTTTTAAAGTTAAATAATGAGATAAATTTTCTTATTTTGCATGGGAAGAAGTATGTAGTTATAATGTGCAGAAAGTAAAGATAAAGATAAAAGTGAAAATATTTCAAAAGTTAAACAAATACCAGAAAAATGAAATAAGAAAATATTTTTAATAAACTAACCAAACACCTAAAAATGATGAAAGGGAAATTATTTTCATGAAAAATTACTTCCACAGAAAATATTTTTCCAAGAAAAACATTTTACATCCAACCAAACAGACCTAGATGTTCCCAAAACCTAGCATCACTAGTAAGTATATTAGTCAACCGACTGTGACGTACCTAGCCCCCTTTTCCAGATGTGCTAAAAGAAGTTCGTCACAATAAAACTACTGTGGTTTAAGGCAATCTATAGCTATAAACTACCATCTGGTTAATCCCAGATTTATGAGTTTCGACAAAAATGAGGTTCTAGGCGATACTATTTGATCAGAGGGTGGGTGACGAACAAAGGCCCTTCTGACTTACTTATCCGAGAGACCATTAGACAAAGTTGATAACTGGCTTTTCTCCTTCGGGTTGCTCCTTCAAGTATCCCATTTACATAGGTTCTCTCTTCTCCAGTTTCTGAGCATAATCAGTATTTTCGTGGTTTATTTACTGTATATATGTGCTCTCTTTTACATATTTGGAATAGATTTTGATATGGTATCATCAATTAATTGTCCCAGGGGACAAGAAAATTGAAGAAGTATTGGATGGTTGAATTTGATTGATCCCATGAACCTTTGTAGCCTGCCATTTTTAATATCAAGATCACTATTTACACACAGATATAGAGTACATGTAACTGGTAAAATGGATGAAATTTTTCTTGCCAGATGATTGGTTTCCATCACAGTGTAAGTGGTTCAAATTGTATCCTTCTCACATGCATGGTTGGCATAAGAATGGCAAAGACCAGTTGATGATTAACAAAGGTACAATGTGTAACGAAATTGAGCCATATAAGTGAATTTGCAGGGCAAGTTGAAAGATATTATTAATTTTTAATTCCGGATATTCAATTGCCTGACCTCTTACTTTTGAATATGCTTTGACTCAAAGCCTTTGAGTTTTAATTTCCCTATGTAAGAGGGGGACGTAGGCTAAAGTACTAGGTGTACTAAGATTTCATATTGATTTCCCCCTTGACTTCGATTCAGGAAAGTGTTGAAATTAGAGCCTAAGCTAGTTACACTCATTGCCTGATGATGATTTCATGCATAGGATCCAGATCGGGAATTCCAATTATTGTCAGATGCTTGATTTGCATCTGTTCGATTTCCAATAGGACTCCACCACGTAAGAGGCCTTGTGTGGGAGATAAATTAGGAGTTTCCATGAAAAAGTCTAGGAGAAGAAGAAAAGCGGTGAAGAAAAAGCTAAAAATTGCAATTTTGAAGGTTCCCTTTTTCTGAGTATATTTAGTCTGTTTGTTATTTTCTTGCTGTATCTGGTTGCTTCTAGTTAAGTATTGGAAAATATCTTGATCTGGTTTCATAATTGAATTTTAAATAGTAAACTTAACTAATACCTGATTATGCTTTCTTCAATTTATATCAGTTGATCCACTGGCCCCAGAAAATTTACTAAGGCATGGAAGGTTCAATTTCATTCATCCCACAGATACCAAATGACATAATCTTTGATGTTCTGTCTAGACTACCGGTCAAGACCCTGGTTAGATTTTGTTGCATCTGTAAGTTCTGGCAAAAGCTTATAACCTCAGACCATGGTTTCATACAATCTCAGCTGCAAAATTCTGTAAAGAGACTTACTGGCTATGAGAATGTGCTCCTGAGCAGTTGTGTTGGTGATAGCCCTCAAGACTTTACCTGCAAAGAAGATCCCAATTCTCAACCCATAAAATTTTCAAAGAAACTAGTAACTGCTTCAGAGAAGTCTGCAGGCTTTCGCCTATATTTCAAAGAAGATAAATTTACAATGGCAGGTTGCTGTGATGGGGTGATATGTTTTGTTCAGTTCAGCAAGCATAATTTTAACGTGAATTTGGAATTTATGATTTATCTATGCAACCCAGCTCTATGTCAGTGCCGGGCTCTTCCACCTGGCCACTATCAGGGCAAATTCTTTTCTTGGGATACAATTGTAAGCTTTTTCTTTGACCCTGTGATTCATGACTACAAAGTTGTCAAGATTATACCTAAGTTTAGCTCCTTTTTGGTTGAAATATATAGTCCAAGCAGTAATACTTGGAAACCGTTGAGTTTGAAAATTTCTCCATGTCCCCAGCATATTTTACAAAGGCCGCTAGTTCATAAAGGTTTTCCTTATTGGATTTCTCAGAGTCAACAGGATTCAAGTCATCTTGTCCTAAATGTGTTGGACATAACCCAAGAAAAGATACGACGAATTTCCTTCCCAGATAGAGTACGATTACAATATGCTAACCTAATATTATTCCAAGGGTCCCTTTCTGTTTTTGGTTGTAATTTCAAACATCAAAATGAGCTCTGGGTGATGACAGAAGACAAAAAAGGATCAATCTCATGGACGAAGCAACTTGTAGTTCCTGATATTTCACATGCATACCCACTATCCAATAGAACAACAGGGATCACAGCCTCTGGGAGGCAGTTTATATCTTCTCTTGGAGCCACGGTGCATTCTTATGATCCAAAGAATCAAAAACTTGAGATGCATACTGAGATGCTTTTGGATGGTTGGAGACAGAAGTATGTTGTAGCTGATTATGTTGCAAGTTTGGTTTCTGTTATTCCTCCTCCTGTTGAAAATGACTTCTATCATGGAGAGATCTTAGCATGGGAGAAATGAAGGTACTAGTGCTTCCATATTTTTTCTAGTATTTTTATCAACAGCATTAACCTGTTTAGGGTTCAAAAAAATTGAACAGCTCTGTATCTGGTTAGAGAATAATCCTTTTTTTTTAAGCTAGTAATCCTTGAACTTGTTTGATAGAGTTCATTGGTTTATTGTTGTTTCATAATTTCACGAAATGTGGCAAGTCTGTCCAACATCTTCAACCAATCTAATCATCTAGCTCTGGATCTTTTTATTTAGAACATTTCTTCGGCTAATAAGATGAAGAAATCAAAGTTAATCTCTGCTCGCTGTTTTGACCAATTCTCCATAATTGAGCTCAAGTTAGATTCCAACTTTCGATTCATGTTGTTGAACTCGAGGTAGACTGATCAGGGCTATTGTATTTCCTTTTGTTTTAGAACTTTAACTGGTGATTACAGAGGAGAAATAGACAGGTTCCTGTAGACTGTAAATTGCAAACAACTAGATTAGTCGTTGTTCGTGAGCATTTGAAACCGAAATTGCAAGTGAGACTCGCTCTCGTTAGAGAAATTGAAGTTCCTGTAGGACTATTCTTAAAATTTGATTTGACCTCCGTCTCCTTTGATAGCCAATAGGACTCGGCCAACCTGTTGGGGAGGTAAAATAAGAGTCTTAACTGAAAATTCTAGGACAAGAAGAATATGGGTGAAGAGGAAACTAAAAAACCCATTTATGGAGGTTATTCTTTTCTCTTTTTGTTAGTGTAATTAGTCTCTTTGTTATTCATCTAGTGCATTTATTTGTTCCTAGTGAAGTACTTGGAAAAGATTTTGATCTGCTTTCATCAATGAATTGTAAAAAGTAAATTTGAGTTTACTTGCTTATGCTTTCTTCCAATTATCTCTCATTATCCCCACGCACCAGAAAACTGACGAAGTCACCGAGGGTTCAGTTTCATTTATGCCTGAGTTACGGCATGAAATCATTCTTGATGTTTTGTCCAGATTACCAGTCAAGACCCTCGTTCGATTTTGTTGTGTCTGCAAGTTTTGGCGAAAGCTTACAACCATGGACTGTGGTTTCGTACAATCTCAGCTCCGAAATTCGGTAAACAATCTTACAGGCCATCAGAATGTCTTCCTAAGAGGTGGCGGTGACAGTCCTCAAAACCTCTGAAACTGACAGAGAAATTGGTAACTGCTTTGGAGGATTCTGCAGGCACATGACTATTTTTCAAGGAAGGTAAATTTACAATGGCAGGTTGCTGTGATGGGGTGATATATTTTGTTCAATTCAGCGACCACTATTCTAGTTTGGATTTGGAATTTACAGTATATCTATGCAACCCGGCTCTGCATCAATGCAGGGCGCTTCCACCCAGCAATTACAAGGGCAAGTTCCTTTCTTGGGACACTATTTTATGCTTTTACTTCGACCCTGTGATCGATGTCTACAAAGTTTTCAAAATTATATACAGATATTCCTTCTTTTTGGTTGAGATTTATAGTCAAATTAAGCACTAATTCTTGGAAAGCATCCAGGTCAAAAATTCTTCCGTGTTCCTCAGGTATTTCTCAGAGACCAGTGGTTCATATCGGGTTACCTTATTGGTTTGCTTGCAGTTAACAGGATTATGGTCATCGTGTCCTAAATGTATTGGACATAGCTCAAGAAAAGATTCGAGAAATTTCATTTCCAAGTAGATTTCATTATGCTAACCTGGAATTATTCCAAGGATCCCTTTCTGTTTTTGGTCGTATTTCTGTACATCAAAATGAGTTGTGGGTCATGAAAGAAGACATAAAAAGTCTCCAAACTTATAAGTTCAAGTTACTTTAGATATATTCAGCTAACGAAGGTCTGCAGGTCAAGCTCAAAATTTTTAAACCAGTGTTTTATTTATCTTCTGTCTAGAGAAAACTGTGCCTAAAGATAATGCCATCTTCTGTGTTGGATTAATCTATTCATAGAACTTGACCCTAATTCTACCCCATCATCTTCTGGCTCCACGTTTATCTCCTCGATGATCATCGATTGGTTCACGCAAAACCAGTTTCTACTCTTCAACTTGAGGGCTTTTCTTGTAAACATAAGAGTTGTAGACTACATATACTTAGTCCCCTGTACGATGATCAAGATTTTGTGATAATACACTAATATTGGCGTTTTCTTGTTACGTGCACTAAAACGATTTTGTCACATAATCTATAGAACGACAATACATAACCAATGGGGGTGACTCTTTCGTTATAAATAATGATCTTTTCGAATACTTTAATGAATCAAGCAAGATTTTGTGATAGAATACTAACCTTGCTGTTTCTCTTGTTTAAATCCAAAAAAGTTTTCCACATGCAACAAAACAAGTGTTTAACATGAAACCTCTATGGCTAAAGGCATTTTATCTTCAGGGAAGAACTACAAATTTTCATTCTCTTCATCAGCATTTATGAAGTTCGACAAAACTGAGATTCCAGGAGATACTATTGACGTACTTAAGTGGTGTAAAAGGGGGAAAAAATTAAAGTCCCCTCTTACTTGTCCTTGAAAAATCATTTGCAAAATTGATAACAAGCCTTATCCTTTGGATTGCTCTTTCAAGAGTTCCATTTATAAAGGTTCTCCCTTTTCCTGTTTCTTTGTCTAATTAGTACTTTTGTAATTAAATTACTGTATATGTGTGTGCTCCCTCCGAAGTATTAGGAAAAGATTTTGATATGGTAAGATCTCTTGGTGATGAAAGAATTTCTTGAACGAAACAAATTATGATTTCCAGGGACTATAGTCCCTGTCCTCTACGCCAAAGAACATCGATCGGGGATCAGAGCAATTGGGGAGCTCTTGGTAGCAGCGAGGAAGAAGTATTATGGTAGAAATTTTCTGGTTCTATGTGATCCTGAGAATCAAACAGTTGAAGAAGCAAAAGAGTCGGAAATGCGACGTGGTTTGGACAAACACTTAGAGGTTGATTATGTCCCTAGCTTGATAAGCTTGGCCCGCTAATGATGTAAAATTCCACCACAGCCAAAACTTTAGGCACTATTTACTGGACCTTAATCGCATTAAAAAGAATGATGAAAGCAAAAACAGGAGATGTTATTCCATCTGGTGGAAGTCTATTGCGAATAATGTTCGATTCTAATGTGCATAAGAAATGAAAATCTGCATCTTTGAAGCGATAAATAGGAATTTGGCAGACTAGCTAGTAGTACAAACTTGGTATTGTAGTTGAGTAGTAGAGAAAGCCATCTTTAAATGCTTTTGTCTGTGTTTTCTTTGACTTGCTTACCTACATTGCTTAATTTCTCTGGTTTATTGCAACAAATGGACAATCTAGAATTTCTTTAAATTTTGCATTAGAACAGTTTTGTCAGAAAATAGCTGGTGAGGTGGAGGAGGACTTTGTCATATTTTTTTGGACAATGTTCACTCTCGTTCAATTGAATTTTTTGCCTAGAAGTAATTTGTAGCAAAGGTACAGCCGATTAAATGAGAGAAAGGAAAAGGAAAGCGTCCAAAACAATTAGATGGTTTCCTTTTCCTGTAAAACTTTTGCTTTTCCTATTTAGATTAGGCTTAGCGTCCAAAACAATTAGATGGTTTCCTTTTCCTGTAAAACTTTTCCTTTTCCTATTTAGATTAGGCTTCCTTTACCATCCAACACATTACATATACTGATAGGCGATTTACAATTAGGGTTCATGAGGAATTCTATAGAGAGAATGCCTGGAAACATGCATTAATTGGAGTACAACGTGAGATACTGACTGAGAATCAGCTTTTACAGATTGTTGTTCCAATCCATATATAAACCCAAAACTGGGGATATCAATTACTCTGCTGCTTTCAATCCTTGTTTAGCCTACTCAATTGTTGTTTTTCCTTGTCTTCTAGCCTGAACAAATTAAACCCTTCATTCCTATGATGGATCCATCGAGTTCGTCATCCAGGCCATATTTACCGTACGACAGTATCTTGGAAATCTTGTCTAGACTGCCTGTGAAGACCCTGGTTCGATTTTGTTGCGCATGTAAGCTCTGGCGAAAACTCATCACCTCTGATGGTAATTTTATCACTTCTCATCTGCAGAACACTCTAAATAACAACAGCAAGATCAATTCCAGGGGCATCAAGAATGTCTTCCTCGACTGTAATAGAATTCTTGTAGGTTGTACTACCTGCTATGAACGGCCTGATCCAAGAATAAAAGAGTTAACCGAGCAATTCATGATCAGTGCTGGAGACAGCAATCTCTGCCGACTTTTATTTGCGGAAGGCTATTTTTCGTTCGCAGGTTGCTTTAATGGTATAATATGTTTCTATGGCGAATGCGATTATGAATGCGTCCCACACATATATCTGTGGAACCCTGCTCTCAATCAATGCATTATCCTTCCCAGAACTGCCGACTGGGAATGGAGTCATAATGTTGTATGCTTTACCTATGATCCAGTTACCGAAGATTACCAAGTGGTACAAATTTCACATCAAATTGTGGTTGGAGTATTCAAGTTTCAGATATATAGTCTAAGTAACAATTCTTGGAAACCTTTGAGTTCAGGGATTCATCCTCCTCGCAACCAAATTCTTCACCTGGTTTCAGAGTATAATTGGAATGCAGTTGTATGTAATGGATTTCCCCACTGGCTTGCTAAAGATAAGAAGGATTCAACTCTCTTCGTGAACATATTGGACATGAATCAGGAAAAAATTCGAGAAATTTTGCTCCCTGATAGCTTATCAAACCATTCACATGATCCTAATCTGGAACTATTTCAAGGATGCCTATGTATAACCCATGGCTGGAATTTTTCAAAGGTACATCCATTTGAATTGTGGGTGATGAAAGAACACGGCGAAGACATTTCTTGGACAAAGCAAATTGTGATTTCTGGGGACTCCACTATCCGTCCTCTACCCCAAAGAATTACAGGGGTCACAACAATTGGAAACCTCTTGGCAGCAGTGAAGAAGGACCGGCTTGGTCGAAATTTTTTGGTTTTATATGATCCAGAGAACCAAAGAGTTGAGGAGCCTATGCAGAAAGAGTTGGAAATCCCCCGTGTATCCGTCACATACTTTGCGTTTGATTATGTACCAAGCTTGGTTAGATTAATCCGTTGCTGATGAACGAAGTCCAGTACAGCAAAAGACTTCAGTTGGGCTCACCCCTCCTCCTAGTACAGAGTAAGAGTAGATATAGAATAGAAACTATAGCATCGACCAAAAAAAAATGCGAAAGACTTCAGTAAGAAATACTAGGAGTGGTTATTCTGTTGGATACTTAATCCAATGTTAACTCATATGTGATTGCAAATTGTTTAATAAAGTTGAGTCCAACTAAAATAATCAATTATAATTTGGGTTTTAATCCTATCTCATAAGATGTGAACTTTTAATGTGTAGGATAATTTCTATTTTTACAATGGACTAAAATATGAATCCAAAAGATAATAGAAAAGTTATCTATAACTAGGGTTATGATCTCGGATCACACATAATCTTTCTGTCGTATTCTTAGTACCACAAACAGGTATCTCTTAATATCCCATCGTCAAGAAGAGATACCAGAGAAAAACTGAAGGAGGACTCTCTCAAACAGCATGTTAATCTCGAAAGCCACCACAAGACTTTAAAGATTCAAGTACTAGTCAATCAACATCAATCCACGTACGCTTTCACAATTTTGTTGTTGATTTATTTCGCAATAATCACCATAATTTTGGGTTTAGTAGGTGATAATTTTCACCAAAGGTTAATATAAACAACCGCTAAAATATTCCACCCGGTGGAGGCTGTTTACGTAGAACGTTCAACTCTATTGTGCATAACAGATGAAAATCTACGTGTTTGAAGCACTATAGGTCCTAGCATTCATGTTTTACAGTTTATACTTAGGTGTTGTAGTTGAGTTTAGAAAGCCATCTTGAACGCCCATTGTCGACTTCAACCAATCGTTTCTGTGCTTTCTTGGGCTTATTTACCTGTTTGATGCCATTACTTTGCCTAACTAGTGTGCTGGTTTCCCTGGTTTATGCAATTTAAATGAATGAAAAATATGCACTGTACTGTGTTTGGATTTGGGATTAGGACAGTCTGAATTCTTCTAGTAATTGACAATTCTGTTGTTTGTTTAAATTAAAAACAAAAACAAAAAAAAAAAAAAGAATCCCCATCTCGAATTCAGGAACTTCCTACCAGTTGACATATCATCTTATCCAGTATATTTGCTAACAAACAAAGCTCATAACTCGGATTTGAGTAACTTCCTTCATTCTCACGTTGCATTTAAATATAAGGATCATATACCAATAATTTGTAGGCACGGTCAGCGTGCTAAAAGATCTTAAACCATAAGGAGCTAATAGAGTAATGTACTCCGTATAATATCTATACTAGTGTCTATTGATTTACAAACTAAACCTTTTAAGGGTTCAAAAGGAAAAAACAAAAACATAAAAAGATAACCATAATTGTAACCAAAGGTATCCTAATTGCCCGACTTGCCATGGTCAAAACCATACAATCCTGTAAAGTCAGTTGAAGAATCAGCAATGTTCAATCCGATGTAGTTGGGAGGTTTCCCCAGCCATTCGAAAAACAGAAAATGCCTGTATCATTTGAGCTTGACTTGAAGTCTGATCAAATGAAAGGTTCTTGATAAATTTATTCTGATCCAATAGCGATTTGAACCAGGAATTACAGTTCTTCTGAGAATCAAATAACTCCATTGCAATGAATCAAGAGACGGGAGTTGCTCTTCTTCGTAATCCCCTCACTCGAGATCAAATGCAGCCACCATCATCCCTGCATATACCGGAAGAGATCATCTTTGATGTCTTGTCTAAACTACCTGTGAAGACCCTGTTTCGATTTTGTTGCGTATCCAAGTCCTGGCGAAAACCTTATAACCGCTGATCCTGTTTTTATCTATTCTCATCTGCAAAAGTCCCTCAAAAACGGCAACAACCACCCTGGCGAAATCAGAGATGTCCTCCTGAACACTCGTGCAATTTGTCCGCGCTCTTCTTCTGACCCCCCCTATGACCCTTGCTCTAGGTATCAACTGTGACTGCCCTAAAAGCTTTGTTCCAGGTGTCAAACAATTCACAGAGCAATTCAGAGTTAATCCTGGAGCAGATATTAATCTCTGCAGGCTAATATTTGTAGAAGGTCCCTACTTCTTGGCAGGATGCTGTGATGGTATTGTATGTTTCTTTAACCGCTGCTATCGTATCGGCAAACTTAGCATCCATCTATGGAACCCTGTTTTAAATCAATGCAAGACTCTTCCCTGGATCGATTGCATCAGATACTGTATAAAGCATGATGTCTACTTTACCCGTAATCCGGTTAGCCATGATTACCAAGTGGTGAAAATTTCACATCCAGAAGGCTGCTTCAGGGTTCAAATACACAGTCTAGGTAACAATTCCTGGAAACAGATTAGTCCAGATATTCTTCCTCCTCCTCACCAAACTCTTGCAGCGTCCCCATTGGCGTATAGATGGAATTTAGTAGTTCATAATCGATTTGCTCATTGGTGCGCTCGAAATCAAATGGATTCAAAACTTTGCTTGAATGTGTTGGACATAAATCAGGAACAGATTCGACAATTATCGCTACCGGATTGCCTACCCAATTTCAAGTATCCTACTCTGGAAGAATTTCAAGGATGTCTTGCATTTTCCGGTCTTGGACATGGAGGTTCTGAGCTCTGGGTGATGAAGGAACATGGTGAACATATGTCTTGCATAAAGCATATTAAGGTTTCAGAGATCCATCCCCTGCGCCAAGGAACAACAGGGCTAATAGCATCAGGGCAGCTTTTGGCAGCATCAAAAGAGAAGGCAAATGGTCTAGTCTTGTATGACTCAGACAAACAGTGTGTTGAGGAACCTATGGAAAAAGAGTTGAAATGCAAACGTTTTCTTGGTTCTCATTATGAGGTTGATTATGTCCCAAGCTTGGTTTCTGTTTTCTTGGTGAAGATAGGGACTTCCAAGATTTTCAGAACTCTAGCTGCATTGAAATCTTCAAGAGACGCCTGGAAGAGGAAAAAAAGGAGAATATGAAGAATAGATGTTCTTGTACACGTTGGAGATTCTTGCCGGAATGTTCCAGTGTTTTGGGTCTAGATTTGGAGAGGTACAAATTTAAATGAATAAGCATAGTCTCAAAAGGATGAGAACAGGTACGGTTTGGATTTTTATGCAAGTCTGCTTGGATTATATTATATATCTAGGTAGCAAAAGTAGCTCATATTAAAACTATGGCTCTGCTTGGATTAGAGTGTTTTGGATTGAAATATTTTGTTTTTGGAGTTTGCAGTAACACAACATCTCCCAAAAAAAAAAAAAAAACACCTAATTCATGCGTTTTCTCATATGCGTTTTCCCATATCTCAATCCTTTGACGACTAAGCCTGGCTTTCGGTTGATTGATGATGAAATACACAGCAAGAAAGCTCACGAGTTAATTTTTGCTTTTCAGTTTTGTTGATAATATTTGACCTTGATAGTACTCGATCGAGATGAGTGTTAAGCGTTACTGCTTCGTACATGGTTGATCATGTAGAAAGCTTGACTGTATTGTCCATTGTGAAGATGAAAAATTACCCCCCCAAAAACTTCCACCACACTTCAATCCTTCATGGCCATGCAAGAGAAAACAAAAATCAAAGACAAGAGAGGTTTTCCTTTGATCAATAGGTTTAAATAGACTGTTTCGTTGTATTCTGATCGGGTGATGGAAAGGTTCAGGTTCCATGCCCGAACGAATAGGTGATCATATGATCATGATCAACTACCTACTTCAGAGGGCAAGTTGATCAACTTGACAAACCGACTCAGTCAGCTCTAGAAGATTAATCGAAGAGGTTAAATCCAAATCCAAATCCCAAATTCATGGTTTCATCAAGAACATCTTTCAACATTTGACCCTCAAATTGCTTCCCTCTATAGCTCTTACCAAAAGCAACTGTAGTAATAACTGCATCCACCAAGTTAAAAAGTTTTTCATCAAGGTTAACCAGTTTCCCCGAGGCTAATGAAATGGAGTCATTCAAATGAGTAATCTCAATTTCCCCAGGTGAGTTTGGCCTGCTGCAGAAGTCTATATCATGAGTTTGCAAGACTTCTTTAGCCATTTCAGCTGAGGAAATGACTCAGGTGGGGACATTGCCTAGTTGCAGTGGCATGGCTGGGCCATATTTTTGTGACAGTTGCCATAACTTCTGGTGAGGTAACTTTCCCAGCTGATGCAAGTTGCCTATGATAGGAAACTTTGGAGGGCTTGGTGGAAGTTTGGCTTTAATGCTATTTGTTTTCTTTGCTTTGAGAACATGCAAATATATGCACTGCCCCCCAAGATTTTTGGTCATGTCCTGTTTCTTTTTTTCCACTAAAAAGATGTTAATAATTTCAATTTGTCTAGGAATCCTCGTGGCTTCTGGTCCTATCAAATTGCTATTGCAGTACATATTGTATCTGGTCTTCCCCATGACCTAACATAGAGTTCTCGATTCAGTAAACCAAAAATATTGTTAGCATAAGATCCACTAGGCCGTTAATTAGAATTGTCTCCTGCTAGATATTATCATTGCACCAAAAACAATACATTTAATATAAGGGACAAGCTAAAGATAATTGTATTGGGATTGTAAAGCTAAGTTCTTGGTTCTTTGGGAAGAAGTAAATACCATTTACAAAAGAGGGGGTGTCTTTTACAAGCATTTAGGAAGGAGGAAGAAACAAATAGAATGCAGAGTACATGGTCCTGTGTTGCCCTCCAAAAATGGCACGCAAAAAGAAGAAAATGAATAGATAAAACTATGAGTACAGAAGAAAAGGAAGATAAAGCAATGGCACTCAAAAACTCAAAAAAAAAAAAAAAAAATTCACGGACACTGCCATCAAAACTTTTACAGATAAGCTACATTCATCCGACCAACCTATTACAAGAAATCATTTACACTTATCATATTTAGCGGTTACCTCCTATCTTCCACCAGATAATTCAATAGCATCTTGATTATAAATTGAATCTTCTCCCCAATCAAATCTTCTCTGCAACCTCTCATACTCCTGCCTACGGGTAACTTCGACATGCTGCCACTCTTCCCATCTCTCAGCTAGCCCCTCGCCTTCCAGCATACGCACCACTTCTGACATCGCCGGTCGATCCTCTGGTGATGCTTGGGTGCAGAGTAATGCAACCTGTATCATCATCTCTACTTCTTGAATGTTGTAGTTCCTGCTTAGGTTGCGATCCACAATAGCATCTAATTTTTTCTCCCTCTGCAATTTTTTGACCTTCATTGGGAATGCAGGCAAAAGCAATGAATAATGAGAAGACTAGCAGACCACATAAAAGAGTTTTATGGACAGACATTACACAAATGAACTTGAGACGAATTTGGACCAGCAAGTCGAGAGAAAGCAGGACTGTGAAAGCTACATAAAATAATTTTCAAATACATACATGGTCAAGCAACAAGACATCATCTTCTTCTTCAAGTCGTGAGAAATCTATTGCCCGCTGTCCTGTCACAAGCTCTAACAGCATGATTCCATAACCAAAAACATCAGTCTTTTCTGATGATTTGCCGGTGGACAAGTATTCCGGAGCTATATGACCCATGGTGCCTCGAACCTGGGTTGTAACATTAGTCTTTCTAACATCAACAAGTTTTGCCAAGCCAAAATCACCAACAACTGCTTCAAAATCTTCATCCAGCAATACATTAGCAGCCTTGACATCACGGTGGATAATTTTAGGATTACAGTGTTCATGAAGGTATTCCAGTCCACGTGCTGTGCCCAGTGCTACAGACTTCCTTGTTGGCCAATCCAGCACAGTTTCCCCGGGTTTTAGCTCTGCAGTAACATGCATATTCCATAGAAAAGACAAGCTGGTATTAAAGAGGTCTACCATTGGTTGGTTTTACAAGTCTCCAAATGTTAAAAAAATCCACCATTTTTTGGGGAACCTTTGTCATGAGCATGTCTATAATTGGTCAAGTCATCGAACTAAGATAGCCCTTACGAAGACATATTGATTACAAAGCGCTTAACTGAAGAATTAAATTTAGATGAGATCTACATCTAGATGACGTCAATAGTACCAAGACAAGAGAACTTCAATTTTAACGTCCATTGCAAGGATTACAAATAAATTCATAGTGGTTGTCACACAATGAGAGTGAGTCACCCAAAGCCAATCAAGCAAGTTACAATGGCAATCTACTCTGTACAATGCAAGATGTTCGATCCTAAGTGTTTGAAACATCAAGTTTGTACAGAACCAACCATATTAAATAGCAGACATAAAAGCTTCACATTCATGTACCAAAATGTGAGACAATGAGCAGTTTTCTAATTTGCTCATTTTTCCAACAAATTCAGAAAAGCAGGATTTTTTTTCACATACATTATGTAAAAGTCTGCATAAGAACATTTTCCAGCAAAACTTTCTAACAACTTGCAACTCATCTTTCTTAACTAGAACGCTAAACTTTGATGAAGGACAAGGTAAACCCTGAAGATTCTGTTGAAAGAAACTTCTTAATAATTGAAATGACCTTCAATAATCAGAGTTACGTGTTATAAACATAACTACGTGTTCCACAACATGCATTTCAACAACAAATGGGCAAAAAGAAACTGAAAAGCCACAACCATGTAAAAGCTGTTAACAATGACTTTTCGCATTGTTCTTGCTGAGCAAGATTACTATTACAGTATCACGATACAAAATGAAATTCTATCAATTAATAAGCATCAAGAGAAAAACTACGGTACCTCGAAGACGATATGCAACACTTAGATTCTGCATGAATGGATACACCAAGAGGCGTTCGGTTGGGGTAGTGCAAAATCCTATCAGTCGTAGAAGATTTCTGTGTACAGCCACACTAATCATCTCAACTTCACGCTGGAATGCTGCATCACCACCAGGACTCTCATAATCTGTTAAACGCTTCACAGCAACTTTTGTACCATCTGCAAGCTCTCCTTTATAGACCTTTCCAAAACCTCCCTGTCCAAGAACATTTTTCTCGCTGAAGTTGTCTGTAGCAAGCTGCAATTCTCTCCAAGCAAATCTCTTCAGCTGACCAAATGCAATTCTTCTATCAACTTCACCTGATGATGCCAAAATTAGCTAATCCAATCAGAGACAGCTTAGATAAAATATCCATTTTCCAAGTGAATCCTTGTAAAGATTGAGGCACTAGTCATTTGAACATTCTGTAATAAAGCATATACAACATAATTCATTTACAAAAAGCAACACAAACCTGCAACATCTACAAAAACTTCACGCTTGTAGCCTCTGTGCCTACCCCTCCAAACAAATAACAGTAAACCTCCAACAAGCAGAATACCTAAAATTCCACCAACTATCCCAACTATTATTCCAACCTTTGGTTTACTTGAAGAACCTGCCAAGACAGTAGATTCATTGGATTTAAGTCAGCTAATGAAGGACAATAGCAAAAGTCTATCCATTTCACCCCACCATTTTTCTTTTTAAACAGATAAAACAGTACGACTTATACTATTGTGGCATATTACATTCTCTTCCTTCAGCATCCCCCTTTTTTTTGGGAGGAGCAGTAAGACACTGAAAAAGCATGCGTAGCAGCTCTGAAGATAAGTAAAATAGATCTTTGGTAGACTGGAGACATATATGGCATTTGTCTTGTTGTCAAAAAAATCTCAATTACATACCTCCATTATTAGACTCGCATGGATGGGGGAAATTTAAACCACAATTCAGGCTGTTTCCTGTAAAACTGAAATTAGCAATCAAATCTACAATCACTCTCTATATTCATAAACATATAAAAGGATATCTGGAAAAAGAGATAGAATACATACTTGTACTTGGAAACTTCAAAGAATTGATCAGGTATTTGGCCAGTAAGACCATTTGATGCAAGCTGACTGCAGAAAATGTTGTCTTAGTACAGTCAGGATGACAGCAACTCAAATTCATATCTGGTAGTCAGACACCTTTGTCTAATTCTGGAAACAAGTAAAAACTCTAGCCAACCTTATGATACTACACAGAA